ATATATATATATATATATATATATATATTTCAAATAAAGGATAGGATTTTTAAGGCGTATATATATTTTTTTTCTACATATTAATGCATTTGAGTGGTTGAAAAGGCTCGACTAGATGTGAAGTAATTAACTTTGATTATGTAAATTAGAGGTAAGGTTAAATATCGTAATTCCCGTGAACAGCACATAGAAGAAGGCAAGATTCGAGAAAGCCTAATTCCTGGGGGTGTGATACTTTGACGACTACCAAACTTCTTTCTTGATACGTGAAGACTAGTATTAGCATTCCATGATAAAGCAGCCTTTTACAATTGATCAGTTGTTAGCTTTTTATGAGAAAAAGGCAAAAGTTGTTAGATGGAAGAATCAGTACCAGTTCCATGTGATATTCAAACCAATTGTTCTTATTCGTTCCATTTATGTTGAAAGTGTTTAATACTGTACAATTTTGTTATAGAAACTGTACGTAACAAGTTTAGTTTGGGTGAAATTTCATGATTAGACACTTTCATGGCCAATTGTTATAATAAAAATCTTTCTAAGGATTGTTCATGTTGTAACTGAGTTCATATAATTACTTGAGTTTTTTGAGGATCGTATGTTGGTTCTTCAATCAGCATACCTAGAAACCTGAGTACCTGAATTTTACACTATTGCAAATTTAAACAGGACGGTCGTCGAGTGCATGTGATTGAAAGGGACTTGACTGAGCCAGATCGAATAGTAGGTGAACTTCTACAACCAGGAGGCTATTTAAAACTGATGGAGTTGGGTCTTGAAGGTAAGATTGGATCCACTTAATTTCTTCTCCTAAGCCTCATGGAACTTCTGCAATCTTAAACTTGAAAATGTTGACATCCAGACTTAACTTTGGGAGCAAATCTTGATCAATGACATTTATTTTCTGTACTGTTGAGTTGTTGCAGATTGTGTGGATGGAATTGAGGCTCAACAAGTTTTTGGCTATGCCATTTATATGGATGGTAGAAACACCAAACTCTCTTATCCTTTGGAAAAATACGACGCCAATATATCTGGAAGAAGCTTTCATAACGGACGTTTTATTCAACAGATGAGGGAGAAAGCTGCATCTCTTTCAAAGTATAGTTTCGTTCTCTTTATACATACAAATAATCTCATTCATATTTACGTATCATGGCAGAACTTAGAACTTGCACAAAAAAACAAGTAGACAAGTAAACATAGGTGTTTATTACTGATGAAGGCCTTTCTTTTTTCACTTACTAGTGTTAAACTGGAACAAGGGACTGTAACTTCATTGCTCGAGAAAGATGGAACAGTCGAAGGGGTGTGTTACAAAAGCAAGGATGGGCAAGTGATGACTGCATACGCACCTCTCACCATTGTTTGTGATGGTTGCTTTTCCAATCTACGTCGCTCTCTCTGCAAGCCTAAGGTATTCTTACAACTCATTTTGTTACAACTTATTTGTATCATTCTTTGAGCTGTACATACAACATTATGTAACGTTTTTCTTGATAAAAAACTTGAATTTGTCCATATAACAGGTAGATGTGCCATCTTGCTTTGTGGGTCTGGTGTTAGAGAACGTTGATCTTCCATATGCAAACCATGGACATGTTATCCTCGCGGACCCTTCACCCATCTTGTTTTATCCAATTAGTAACACGGAGGTTCGTTGTTTGGTTGATGTCCCTGGACAAAAGGTACCCTCCATTTCCAATGGTGAAATGGCCAACTATCTCAAAACTGTAGTAGCTCCACAGGTATATATTCACAGCCCATTTTCTTATGTTCTTTCTTTATGTCTCAGTTTCCATTGTATTTGATCGATCTAACCACTTTATGCTAAATTTTCAGATTCCACCTGAATTATATAACGCCTTTGTGGCAGCAGTTGATAAAGGAAACATAAGAACAATGCCAAACAGAAGCATGCCAGCAGATCCGCAGCCCACTCCAGGTGCACTTCTAATGGGAGACGCATTTAACATGCGACACCCGTTAACCGGTGGAGGAATGACAGTTGCTTTATCAGATATAGTTCTTCTTCGTGACCTTCTCAGGCCGTTACGTGATCTCAGCGATGCGCCTACACTTTTGAATTATCTTGAGTGCTTCTACACTCTTCGGAAGGCAAGTATTGATTTGATTTTCACTCTTTTCTTTTTCCTGTAACAAATAGAATTGACGAATGGTTTTTGGTCCTTTTTTGCAGCCTGTATCATCGACAATAAACACGTTGGCAGGTGCTTTGTACAGAGTATTTTGTGCATCGCCTGATCCAGCCAGGAAAGAAATGCGCAACGCTTGCTTCGATTATCTGAGCCTTGGAGGCATCTGCGCAGAAGGACCAATCTCTTTACTTTCCGGACTCAACCCACGCCCACTGGTCCTGTTTTGTCATTTCTTCGCTGTGGCTATCTACGGTGTTGGCCGTTTGCTTATCCCATTCCCTTCACCAAAACGATTATGGCTCGGGGCTAGACTCATCTCGGTTAGCTTCAATTCTTCCAATCATACTTGGGCCATGTTCAACAACCGCTGGCTTATTTTTTCAACTTATTAAAATGACCCTTTTCATTTGCCATAAGACTTAAAATCTAGTTCATTGAAACTCTTTTTGGAAGAATGTTTCAATAAGCTCCGGAGACTTTTTTATCCGACTAATTTTTCAACAATTTCTTTTAAGTCATTTTATATTGTCACGTAGTTTATCAGCCTAGGTTTATGCCAGATGTAACTAATTTATGAGTTAAGATTATTAGCCAACAACACTAAACAAAGGTTGAGTCATTTGTTTAACATTCTATTCCAAAACTTGGTTTCAGGGTGCATCTGGGATCATCTTCCCAATTATCAAGTCTGAAGGGGTTAGGCAAATGTTCTTCCCTGCAACACTTCCAGCATACTACAGAGCTCCTCAAGTTGCTTGACATTATCTGGTTAGATCATCATCGATCTTGATCTCGATCCCGATCCTTATAAATAAAATGTTTTTTGAAATGTATTTTGTAATTATTGTCCATGAAATGGCGTATACCTTCCCTTTTTTATTTTTTTATAAATGTATGAATCATAAATACTTTCTTTAAATTTGCAAATTGCAACTAATTAATGTGATGGCCTGTTTTTTAAGCTAACTGGCTAATGGCTATGTTATAAGAAAAGTATTGGTTATAATTTATGTTTAAGGTTATGATACAATTACATATAGTTGAAAACAACTGAGTTTTTTTTTCATTAACTTGGATATCCAACCCGCTATGCGAGCCGACTAATCCCAGGGCGACCACCTGTTTTGCAGATAACCCGGAGTCACCGCATTTGAACCTCCGTAACCACAAGGGGATTTTTGTTCCTCCTTGGATTTGAACCTGGGACTTCTAGTTACCTTTGACTTTTGTAACCTAGCTCAAACCAATCAGGCATCACAATACACTCTTGTGGTTGAGTTACTTTTTTCTTGTTGATGGTTGGAGCTTTTAATAAGCAGTTGCAGCTTTTAATAAGCAGTTGCAGCTGCATCTCTTCATCATTCAATGCTACTTTTTGGCCTACCAAATAACATATATTTCTATTTCCAATAAATTACATCGATAGTTTCTATGTTTTTTTTTCAAACCTCAACAAATACTGCTACGTTTCGAAATTAGATCAGACTCTTCCTCGTTTAATTTTGTTTACACCATTCATCCTCTGTCCCTAAAGGGTGCTTCCTAAATCTATCCGTTAAGTTGAGGGACGTTTTGGTCGTTTCGTCTTTTTTTTTTAATGAAAAAATGTTGATGTATGTTATGAAAATACCAAGACCCAAACAGCTAAAAGCTCAATGGTTATATAACATATATAATCCAAAAACAATGAACTAAAGTTCAAGATTGAGATTCTAGGTGGTATAATGATTGACAATGCGAGATTATCAACCACCAACTAGCGTAAATCCCAATAAAATGAAAAATAAAGCATAAGCAAGAGAGGCATCGAGATTTTTACGTGGAACCCCGGAAAGGGAAAAAACCACAGGTGGAAGACGTCGGGAAGTGATCCACTATCACAATGATGATGATTACAACTTACAATGGAGAAATCAGATATGTTCTTGAGAAAACTTGGAGAGCAAGCCTTTTTGAGAGGGGGTGAAGTAGAGCGGGCGACTTGGCCCGTGTAATATCCTTGAGTTATTTGGTTTTTAGAAGGTTTAGAAGTTCATATAATGTCGTCAAGTACCTTTAGATCGATCGGGGTTGAGTTTGAAACTTTGGTTATATATATAAAACCCCACCTCCAGAATTTAGTTTGTGAAAAGGTGCAAGTGTGTGTTTTGTGTTTCCTTGATGAGATCGCAAGAGAAAGAAGGGAAAAAGGAAGAGGGTTTTGAAGAGTTCATGTTGGTGTTTATTTTCTAAGGTATGATATTCTCCAATTCTTTAAGTTAGGGGCCGTTTACCGAAATGCTTACCCGGTAAGTGATTACTGTTAGGAGTCAACACTATAATTTATTTTACCGGGTAAGATTGTAGTATATCAAAATGGTATCATATGCAAAAATTTACTCGGTAAACACTTACCCGGGTAAGAGTCGTCACCCTCACTTACCGAGTAAGACTCTCCATCTTTATCGTTGCTCTTACCGGGTAAGATTTTTGACCCTTGCCCTATTCATCCGGTAAGAAAAATTACCTGATAAACACTTACCGGGTAAGCGTTTAGTAAACGGCCCCTTAGTATTGTTTTAGTTTTTGGGTTTAAAGCCTTGTGCTTGAAGGGAGTTGTAGGTCTTTTTCATGAGGCTGATTGGGTATTTTGTTTAGAGTAATTGGTGCTAAATTCTTATGAATTTTTATTTGATGTTCTTCATTTCATGATATAGTCAAGTTGTTTTTTTTCCATTGTCGAGTTAATTTAGTTTGATGGGTAATCTTGTTGCTAACTGTCCAAAGTGATTTTGTTTAAGTAATGAGTTTGGTTGGTGAATTTTTGGACAAAAACTGTTTTGGAAAGGTGTGGGGGGGAAAATGGCTGAAACAGTGGTTAGAGCTAGGGGTGTTCAAAAACCCGATCAACTCAGCCCAACCCAACCTAATGCGAAATAGCTCAACCCGAAACAACTCGATGTTTAATCGAGCTGTAAAATCTTCAAATCATAGGTATTGGGTTGATATCGTGTTACTTTTATTTGAATCCAACCAACCTGGATATAAATATGATTATTGAGTTTTTATTAATATACACATTAGACAATCACCATCACATATTCTCTTCATATACATATATTTTCAATCTATTTTCCATCTTTATATAAATTCTTTGTATATATGTGTAGTAACTATATATATGTGTGTGTGTGCGCAAATTGAGAAAATTAATTGAATGCGATGTACTTAAGTTAAGAAGTGTGTATAAATTGTACCAAATTGTTGATGATGAAAAAGAAATTATGAGTAGAGAAAACAACATATTCAAGGTTAGAAGAATATTATGATAACCAAAGTATCAACCCGACCACCTTGTACGGTTTGGGTTGAGCTGAGCTGGGTTGCATTTTGGTTTGAGTTAGGTTGAGTTGAGATTTTTCAAATGACAAACATTGGGTTGGGTTGTTCAAATGTCTTCAACCCAATCAACCCGACCCATGAGCATCTCTAGTTGGAGTGACCTAGCCCACGACCTAAGTCGAGTGGCTAGTCGTGTAAATCACTGTGGTAGTGTTTTTTGTTTCTGTTTTGTGTTGTGGGTCTCTCGAGGTATCATTTACGTGCCTTAAAGATTGTTTAGAGATAAGATTGGGTTTATATCTCTAGATTGTAATTCGTGCTTCTTTTATTCAGATTCAAGTGTTCGGTTTTGAATTTTCGTTTCAGTTAAAGTTATTTCTCCGTACTTCATATCAAGGTGAGTTTTGTTATAACCATTTTTGAACTAAAATGCATATGTTATCAAATGGTTAGAAATACTATACCATATTAGTATGTTCGTAATTTACCATTAACCGTGATACAATATTTGATACCAGTTGTAGGACATTAATACATGTGGGTTAAAAGAACTTACACAACATAAGCTCGTGTTCATATGAGGCTGTAATGGTCCGTGCAAGGGGATAACTTTAGCCTATGAATGTGTTTCTTGTGGTTCCACTACCGATATTGATTACAAGTATTTTTAGAAAAGCGATTGTTGTGTCTATTTGCCTGGGATGGATGTAGTGCCTGAGAGCCTACCTCATGGGTAACTGATCTAAAGGCTTTATATTGAATGATTTTACTGGATTTTTTCATTGACGGAGATTTCCTCACCAGACAGTATGGTCTAACCCTCATTTTTGTTTCAAAAATATGCATTTCAGGACAACATAGTTTAAAGGGTAAAAAATAAAAAGGAAAAGGAAAAGTATGAGACCATGTATCTGGATTTTCATGTGTGAAGCCTGTCGAGGGGTATTATGAAGTTTGCACTTGATCTTCTTGTTTTGTGAACCTTTATTATGAAGATCTTATTAGAAAATTTTGTGATAGATTTCTTGTATTTGTGAAGTTTTGCATAAGGGAACACAATTTGTATTGATAACATGGTTTGTTATGTATAATTTATGTGTTATATGTTATCTGAAATTGCAGGTTGTTACAGCCGGCGGGTAAAGGTGCGCCATAAGGCGTCGGAGCTACTGGATCGATCAAGAGCAAAAGGCACGAGGCGATGATTTGGGGCGACATCAACCGCATGAGGAAGCCGCTCGGAATCACCAAGACTTAGGAACCTAGAGTCGCATCAAGGAACGCCCGATCTCTTAGATTTAAGGCAACAATATTCACAAATCTCCGCCTTGCATTTAATCCAATAAACCATATTAAGAATAATAAAGCTTCACCTTGTCTCCAAACCAAGTAATTACATCAAGAACACAATCTCCACCAATATTCATTTAAGCAAAAAACAATCAGCCATAAACAAAGCAGTACCAAAGTAATCAAAGTTCTCGAAAAGCAATATCCTCCAGCAATTCGCCCCTAAGGACATCAACCCCATTTTGCAGCACCAAACAAGTCCAAACACAAATTAAACTTGGCTAACGGAAGCGGCTTAGTCAACATATCGATTTGTTGTCGTGAGTGCTAATCTTGACCACTTAAACATCACCTTTAGCTATTGCCCCATGGACATAATGATGACGAATGTCAATGTGTTTCATCCTATCATGAAACTCTGATCCTTGGTCAAGAGAACTACACTTTGATTATCAATAGAACCTCTTCAACCTTCAGAAGATCGCTCAATTCACCAAAAAATTGTTTGAACCAAACTAATTCTTTCACAGCTTCATTAACCGCCATATATTCTGCTTCCGTTGTATACAAGCGATTTTCTAACTAATGGCACACCTATCTAGAGTAAAAACATATCTAGTGATGGATCTCCTGTTCTCAAGATCCTTGACATGATCGGAGTCCACATATCTAAGTACCCCTGAAGAATTATTGTCGAAGTGCAAACACATATTTGTCGTGCTCTTCAAGTGATGGAAGTTCCATTAGACGACCCTCCAATGTTCTTTACTGGCTTTGGCCATTTATTTGCTCACCACAGAAACTACATAGGCAAGGTCAGGATGGGTACAAATCATGACATATATTAAAGATCCTACCACACTAGAATATGGCACTCTTGTAGGCAACATCAACTTGATTCGAAGGACTTAAAAATGGACGATAGCTTGACTAAGGTATAATTTCTCGCCTTTCTGTCATGAATAATCTCCATACCAAGAATTCTCTTTGTGGCTCCCGAATCCTTCATATCAAAATTTGAATTCAACTAAGGTTTTTTACTTTCTGAACTTCTCCGTATCTTTAGCTGCAAGAGCATGCTATCCATGTACAAGAGCAAATACCACATCGACCCATCATCACACTTCTTGAAGTAAATGCAACTGTCGTTCAAAGAATTAGATAAGCTGTATGGGTACAAAAACGTCAAATCTCTTGTACCACTACCTAGGAAACTGTTTGAGGCTATAGAGAGATTTTATAACTTGTACATGTGACCTTCTTTACCCAGAATCTCGAAACCTTTAGGTTGTTGCTTAAAAGGATCTTCCTTAAGTTCACCATTCAGAAAAGCGGTCGTTACACCCAATTGCTCA